ATGTTACATTTGCTATCAGAGCATAAGTGGACCAGCAGTGAGCATGGGAACTGTATGAAGGGGCAAACCAGAAATTCCAAATGAAATGTTGAAATTTCAAAACAGAGAATTGTGCAATACAATCTTAGGATTTCTAAAAGACATAACATTGTCATCATATATGGCAAAGAAAAACAAACTGGTAGTGCTGATTTTAACATTGGATCATGGTGGAAAAACTGATAGGGACACTTCAACAAAATGGAAGTCTGGGGCTGGAGATAGATAGCTCAGTAGAGTCGGTGCTTGCCTGGTAGCCACGAGGTCCTGAGTTCAATCACCAAGCAGCTAACACACTTGTGGAAGAAAAATGGAAGTCTGCAATGGTAACTTTCAACTACAAAACCAAAGGCAGAGTACATGTTGATGATTTATGCAGCAACTCTAATGTCACCCAAAACACAAGCCACCGATGAATGGTTATGTTTTACTCAGATTTAAACATGTACGGTATAGCTTGATACTTTATAAAGAAAATACGAAGTGTGTAGTATCATGGAGAAATTTTCTTAGAAGACTGGTATGGAACTCATAAGAAGTTATCTACAGCAGAGGAAAAACAAAATGTTTCTTTCCAAAGAACTACATTATCATGGTTTGGGGTTTTCCCAAGGTGAACAATATAATACAGGACACACTTTATAATAGTATTTTATAATGAATCACCCAAGCATCATATACAAGAAATGCAGGAAATCTGTCCACACACATAAACACTAAAGACTCCATCTGAGGACCTAGATCCTAATATGCTGCATGAGTACAATTGAAAACCTAGAGCTCATTACAATGCTTCTCTCAAGTCCAATTGGAGGTCTAGAGTCCACAACAAATTCTCATAGAAATCTGCTTCACAGATCTGTTCTGGAAAGGCCCAAAGGTCAGTGGTGGAAGCTAGGAAGTCTATGCCAGTGGGATGAAGGATCTGTGCTAGCAGGCTGAGGGATCTGAACTGGACCTAGGAAACAATGCTCAAGATAAGCACCAGAGCTCCCTCAAAAGTACCACAGCCATCCTCAGCAACAGTGAAGTCCTGAGCTCCTTCAGCAATGAGGAAACCGACTTCCCATCAGGAAAGCCAGTGCAACAAGCTTCTCAATGAGTCTGAGCTGAGGCCAGGAAGAGATGCTCAAGTTGAGGACCCAAGCTTTGGCAAACTTCATAGGGAAAGCCAGCATGACAAGGTCCTCCAGCAGAACAGCCCAAGAGAACTAGCAGCTTCTGACAGCTTCTCCAAACAGCATCCCTAATAGCATTTCAGCAACTTCTCCTATTCTGCTTTTTATGCTGCTGGCAACAGTCCTCAGGTAGGCCTCTCACACCCAGCACCAAGCTAGTTCAATTCAACTGGGTGTAAGAAGTTGACCACCAGTTAGCTATCCACCACATACATCAAGAAATTTTGGAGCGTACTGGTGAGCTGACACATGAACCAGTAAGCACAGCATCACAAAGACCTACTGTGACAATGGAAAAGTCAAGAGGATGTCAACTGTGTCCTATAGAAAAGGACAGGATATCAAAACATATGCGCTGTCAGTGTAAGTGATACTTGTGTATGGAACACAGAGTTTTCAGGTGTGAAGGCTGCCTTGAGTGTGATAGTTGAAGCAAAGATTACTTCTGCACTAGTCATTTGTTTGTATTTACACTGTTGTTCACATAGGTCTTTATTTCTGATGTTATCTTTTAGGTTTCATAAGCTAGTAAACAGCTGATGTGAAAATGTTCATGTCTATTCTAAGCACTTATTATATATTTGATGTTTTATTTTACTGATGTCTTATTTTCCTGCTAAGTACACATCATACAATATAGTAGGAAACTCCTGACAAAACAAGAAGGCAAGAGGGGTGACAAGAATGACCTGTCACACAGGAAAGAAAAGCTAAGTGTGTTTGCTGTCAATGTAAATGAGATATGTGAAGGGAACATGCAATTGTCATGTGTGATGACTGCCTTGGGTATACCAACTGAAGCCAAGATTTTTTTTTTTTTAGAGATGGATTGGTATTTTTATTGTAGTTCATATAAGTACTTACTAGACCAGGAATGGTCATGCGAACCTGAAACCCCAGCACTGGGGAGGCTGAAAACAGGAGGATCATGACAAGTCTAATCTGTATGTGAGACCATATACCAAATACGTTTTTAAAAAATTATTCCTGTTATTTTTAGGTTTTTTATGAACAATAAGTATGAAAAATTCAATACTTTATTTTCTGATATTTTCTTGTTAAGTAATCATTATTTAAACTCAAAATTAAAATTAATAATTAATAGAAAAAGTCCAAAGAATAAATGTAGATATTAAACACCACGATAATGTGCTTTTGTGATAAAATTGGCTTAAAGAAGAATTTGATAGGGAGCAGTTTGTGAAAATTTCAGAAGCTTCGGCTGGCCAAATAGCTAAAAGGATTAAAGAGTCTGCAAGCAGGTGCAGGGACAGGGGGATTCGGATCCCTGGGCCTGCCATGCCGGCCCGCCCCCGGAGGCCCGCTGAGAAAGCAAATTCCAACTCCTGGGAGGCTGTAAACAGACGGATTACTTTGAGTCCGATCTAGAAGTGAGACCCTGAACACCATGTAGACCCTTCCCTAAAATACAAAAAAAAAAAAAAAAAAAATTCAGAAACTTGACTTGGTTCAGTTTAAAATATCTCAGCAGATACGCAACTTGGTAGTCGGGGCTCGCCTTCAGTTACATATATTTGGTGGTGATTAGAATAGGATATGAGTTGTATTCCAATTCTGGGGATGAGAACAATCCAACTCTTAGCTTTTGCTTGTAGAAAACCAGGAAGCACAGAATGTTGAAAGTGAAAGTGCTTTCCTGTGCCACCCCTCCACCTTTATCGCAGAAAGGGTCCCAAGAACCTAGGACACCAAACGATTTACCACGGGGTTTGATGGCTCTCAGCCGCCCCAAACTGCTCCAACCCAGTGATAAAGACAGTACAGAGAAAAAGAAAAAGAAGAGCACATAAACACAAAAGTAAAAGCTTTAACTTCTCAAATCTCTTTACTATCTAACCTTCAAATAAGGAGAGGAAAAAAAAAAAAAAACTTCAAGGGTAAGCATCGCTCCTTTAACCCCTCATGAATTATCTTATTCTCTCTCTCTCTCTCTCTCTCTCTCTCTCTCTCTCTCTCTCTCTCTCTCTCTCTCTCTCTCTCTCAAATACAAGCACGACCGTGACTAAAGCAATATTACAATCTAAACAGAAAAGAACCACTGAAGGCAGAGAGAAAGGTCAGCGATGAGCCAAACTAGCAAATCCCTGAATGAGAAACTGAGGAGATATTTCAGAAACATCATAGGGAATGCTGTATTTGATGAGTTTTACACCCTTAATAAACTAGGAATCAAGAAATAAAATAAAATTAAAGTAATTTATAGAAGAATGTTTGAGACTATGCTAATGTACTTTATCAATCTTCCAGAGGTGTAGAGAACACAAGATTTCCATCATTTGCTTGACATAGAACATACTCTTTTTCAAATGATTCGTAATAGCAACATCCAGTAATGATATTCCTCTGAACACAGTGTGGGAAATACTTAATATACATATGAATGAGAATCCCAAAAATGAATGTTTTTCAAGGTTGGCAGAGCAAGACCAGATAGTTTCTCCTCATCCACTCCCTGGCTTGATGCACGAAGATTTGCAAATCTGCATAACTATAACCTCACAGAACCAAATTCAGTTTGCATTCAATAAATTCACTTTTAAAAAAAATGAAGACACTGAATTATCCAATATTCACAGTTATTAAACATTCACATTGCAAATGAATTCCCAAATCCCCACCTGCTCCCAGCAATGATATCAGTGAATAACTGGAATTAATTATTATAGAAATGATGATAATGATGCCAAAGAATTTATTCTAATTAAATGTTCTACCATGGAGAAAGGGCTGAAATTTAGATCAATAATGATTTAATTTTATTCTTGAGTCTTTCAGGGACATTCAGTTCTTCCAAGCACAATAACCTGATAAATGGTTACATTTTTGCTGTGATTGAGCAATAATATCTTTATCAACTTTCTTTTTGCATTTTACCAAATATCCTAGTCCACATAAGATGTGCTTTATGGAAAAACTCTTATACACGATAAATTGTAAAGATATTTTAGCTAGTTTGCCACCCTTTCTGTGTATTCTCCCCAATTAAACCGACATAGGAATAGTTCCAATTCGCAAGAAAGCAAATCTCTGAAGAGGATGAAAAACTGTGAGAACGACACGTCTCCATAACATTCGGCTCTTAGCTTCACACTCACACAGAAAGAATGACTCACAGTTACATGGAATACAGAAGATGTCTAGAATATGTTTATTAACTTTAATCTCATTCATGTTTCCATGCAAATATTCTTTAAATGCAGTTATAATACTAAACAAAAAATGTTAGCTACAAATGACATGCCTCAACATAGAGTATCCTATGCTATACAACCTTTTTATTTTCAGTACCAGGGATTAAACTCAGGACCCTGCACTTGCCAGGCAAGTGCTTATTCTACAGAGCTATCTCCCCGGCCTTTTTTGGTATCATTTTTGTAACCATAAAAATCATAGAGAAGCTATTTGTTTAAAGGCATTGTTCTACTGTAATTGATTTCTTCCCCTAAACTCAAGGTAAGACCCAAGTTTATGGTGAAATTTCAGAAGTTTTCTCTGGGTACAAAAGAAACCCAGTAAAAACACTGTCATCTTCAGGGCTCACGTACACGCCATTCCAATCCTTTGACACTTCCAGCCACACTTGATCTCCTGCTCTTAATTTCAGGATGAGGAGGAGAGAGGCCTGGTCGATTTCCTGGCCATAGACAGTCTCTCTGGACTTGAAGTGCTTATTATTCTGGGCCATCAGGCTGATCCGAGCAGGCCGACCCCTCACAGTGACATGATAGGAAAACACATATGCCCCAGGAATACTGCAGTTAAATTTCCCAGTGACGGGGCTGTAGTCCCCTTGGTCATTGTACAGAACCTTGTCAAATTTGATAGGGGTGTTAGGAGGAGGGAATGGCTTTGATAAAGCAACACTAAAGGCTGACTGTGGGACTTCGACCACCCCTCCCTTGGAGCCCTTGAAACCCCGTGAGCCCTTTTTCCCAATAGGTCCTCGGACTCCTTTAGTTCCATGCTCACCCTTTGGCCCAGCAGGTCCCACCAAGCCAGGAGGACCTAACTCTCCTTTTTCTCCTTTAAGGCCTGGATCACCTTTGGCCCCAGGCAGGCCACCTGGGCCCCTTGTGCCTTCTATTCCAGTGTCTCCTTTGCTGCCTCTTTCCCCTTTCATCCCCTTCTCACCCTTTTGCCCTTTCCCTCCTCTCTCCCCTGAGTCTCCACAGTAGCCTTTCTCTCCTGTCTCTCCTTTCTCTCCCTTGGTCCCAGGCTCTCCATTCAAACCCGGGAAGCCCATGGCTCCAGGGTCTCCTTTGTCTCCTTTGGTGCAATTCCCACACAGATCCCCCTTTGAGCCTTTTTGTCCTTTTATTCCTGCAAGGCCAATGTTTCCTTTATCCCCCTTGGGGCCAAGTCCACCTGAAACAGAAAATTAAAACAATGTTTAAGGACCACATAGGCTGTAAGCAGTATACAATTAAGTATCCCCATTACCTATCTAAACCCAATGTAGGCACAAAAGCTGAAACCTCGCTATTTCAGGTGTTTTCTTTCTTTGACAACTGGAGACAGAAGCTGACAGGAACAGAGTTCAGGTGTTTTTATCTAGCTTCTGAAGTTCTGAACCCACTGTGTCCACTCACTACAGTGAATACTAGAAAGATAATAATTTATGTGTCCATCTGACCTCTCTGACAATTTTACGGAAGAGAACAAAGCAGCACTTCACTGCACCAATGACTGCATGCAATAGATACATTTTGCACCCTACCTTGTTCTCCAGGTTTTCCAGGATATCCTGGAATTCCACTTGCTCCTTGGTCCCCACGGCCTCCCTTTAGTCCTAAAATGATACTAAGATTAACTTTCTCCAACTATATCACTTATGATATAGCTAACAGCACTTTTATACCCATGTCATGCTCCACTGTTTCTGTTAAAGTAGTTTAAAGGTAAAATAATCTGAGTTAAGAATTCTTTAAAAATGGTTAAAAGTATTTAATTCCAATTAATGGCAAATCATCTTAAGGAGATTTGGGAGGAAGTGCTAACCCCTGTAAGAAGAATTTGTCTTGTCCAATGACTCTCATAACTCTTCAAATCTTTCCTATAATTCATGATATCTGCTTATATTAAAAAATTTATGTATGTTTCTTCCAATTATAAATTTTAATTAGCAGTTAAAATGTCTTTTTCTCATATTCCTGAGATATAATACCATCCACCATCCATGTTTCAACACAGAGCATGACAATCTGTAATCAGCCAAAGCCAGTCAAAACAACACCTATCCAGGAATGAAAATTGCCCTCGACAGAGAGCTTTAAAAAAATTCATTTCATGTTGGAACAGTTTTCATTCACTCTTCTGGAGAATTTTGAAACTATGGAAAATAATATTTGAAAAACATTAAAAGAACTAGATTATCATATATTTGCCATATTTCCATACAATGGATTTTTAGTCTTACTAGAAGCCTAATGTGTTACAGGTCAACCATCTTACTACAGATTAATTTTAACTGAAAATGAAAATAATGATAAAACTAGCTTTAAAAATAGCCAGTTTGAGCTGGTGAAATAGCTTAGTGGACTAAGCACCTGCTTAGACAAGCTCAGGGACCAGGATTCAGTCTCCAGCACCACATGCCATACCAGCCCCTGAGTCGATCACCAAGACTGGGTGTGGTTGTGTGCGAATGTAATCCCAGTGCTGGGGAGGCTGAAAACAGGATCACTAGGAGTCTGAGCTGCATAGTGAGACCCAGTAACAAATACATAAAGAAAAATAAAGCTAATTGTTAGATAATTGTATTGGTAATTTATTTCACTCCAAATATTAGTCCAAACTCTTAACATTATTTAAAAGTCTGGTCTTTTTAAATTTAAAATAATTTTATTTTATATTAATATGATCTCATATAACAGTGAGGTTTATGTAGCAGCACATTTCATCAAGCGGAATGCTCTTACAGGAGTTTATATCAAGCACTTCCCCTGCAAGAGGGGTAAAGAAGATATTTTTTCATCATTTTTATCACAGAATAAACAAAATTGTAAGAAAATGTAAAAATTTATGAGTCCAAGTTAACTATATATAACCATGCTAGCATCAAATTGCCAACAATATTATGTATGATACAACTAACATTTTGTTTCATTTTTTGTCAGTGAAAAAGAAATCCTAGGTCAAATTCAAAGTGATGAGAATGGACTCTCTAATTTGAAATATTAAATAAATCCCACCATGGATAACTCTAAAGTTTTCTAAGCAGCTAGCTCCCCTATTAATCCTCTACATAAAGTATAAAACTTAGAATTTCAACCACAGTCCATCAGAAAGATATCTGGATGCACTGGGAGAAAATCCGAATATGAACGGAAAGGGCCAATCCTATTTCTGATACTCCTCAACAATTAAACACCAACTTTCACCCACAGAATTATTTAGGTTCTTAAGTGTATAGAAGAAACTTAACCTCTTATACTGAATTTATTCAAGCAGATAATGATTATCCAGAATATAGACATTTGATTCATTTATTTAACTTTCAGTGTTAACAAAAGATGCAAGTTTAGTCTGGAAGTTAAAGGAAAAGTAGAGTTGCCACTTTATAGGGACTGGCTGCATGAATTTCTACTTTGATCCTTCATCAAAGCATGTTCTTAAGAACCTTCCCACTATTTTCTTCTACTTCCAGGAGTCTAGTTTCCAAACTGTATGAATTGCTGGGGAAGTTCATCACTAATCTTTATTTCACAGGGCTTTCTGTTAACATCATTCACCCACAAAAGGATTAAATATTTCCAAGAATGAAAATCACATAACTGACAAGTGTGAAGTAGCTCTTTCTTACCTTAACACCTTTCTTGAGTAATTGCTTCACTGAATGTTCTAGCAGAAATGAGTTAGGCAGTTCCAGAGCCATGTGGAGGGTGATCTATAGATGGTATTAGGTCTTTTGACATGCGACACTGACGCTAAAACATTGAACTTGATGGATAGATGATATTTCTACAGGATGCTGTGACTCACTGAGGAATATCTAAGTGTTCCTGTGAATCTGTGACTTTTCTCAGTACCTTCAAGCATTTACAGAAACATGGATTTTACGAAGCACAGAACTTTTTTATTGATACATACACAGAATCATAGAATTTCTGTGCTGACAAACATCTATTGACGCACCATAACAACACACCTTCTTTGATAGTAAACAGAGTATCAATATTTAGTCCATTCCTCCAAATTTCCAGGCAAGGCAAAATGACTGGTCAAAAGTTACTGTTGTAACTTTAATACTTGTGCTTTAATTCAGTTCTCTACCCACCTCTGGTACTGCCTCTGATTTCAGAATGAACCAAAAGAAATGTCTGAATCTCCTTAGAAGACAGGTTACACCCCTAAACTGAATACTCCAGATGATTGCTCGCTATAGTGTATTCCATCTAATATGAAATTAATTAGCATCACAAGAGAGAAAATCACAGGACTTACAGGAAAGAATCCCTCTCCAAAGACTTAACCTTAAGGTCTCCAGTCACTAAGTCAGATAAGTGGCCAAAGAGATGGAAATGCCACGTTAAAAACATTGTGTGTGTGTGTGTGTGTGTGTGTGTGTGTGTGTGATGTTCTCTGATAAGAACAAAAATCTCTCAGTTGGCTATTTATAAACATTTTCACATCAGATTAACTTGCAATATGCTTTTACCAAATTCTTAACATTTTTATAATTTTATCCATTTTCAAGATCTAGTATTTATTTTGAAAATTAATCTCCTGATAAATGATGCAGAATATCCCTGGAGTTTTGATATGAAATAAAATAAATTACCTACCCTTTTCTCCTTTGTGGCCCTTCGGCCCTTGGGGTCCAATGACTCCTGGAGGGCCTGGAATCCCCATATCACCAACCTCTCCTTTAAGACCTGGAAATAGGGTTTTAAAACCATCAAGATAGAAAAAAATTCTCTTTTCAAGTTCATTAGTTTATGGAGAGGTGGAAAAAATCATTTCATTAAAACTAATAACTGTCAATGCCTTGATGACAAAATCTGGTGAGAATAAACTATTACAGAGTTCTAAGGGCAATATTTTTGTCTGATTTGCAATTTTGTACTACCTGAATAGATAAATTGAACCCATTAGTACTTGTCACTGTGTCCATGGCAGTGATCAAATGACTTGGGGAAGCGGCACTATATCAAACAACAAGAATAAAATTATTATCTGACATTTAACCTCATGTGGACCACACTCTAGAATTGGAAGTAAAAAAAAAAAAAAAAAAAACTAACACTTTAACATTTCCCATTCATTCACTTAGTCTTTCAATCAAGAACTATTCCTGAGGTCACCCTTTAGGGGCACAACCGTCACCACGCCAGCACTCTACACTCCTACAGAGCTGAGAATCTATGAAAGATAAACACTAGACAAAGACACAAATAAATAGAAACAGTCACATTGTAGCTACTATATAAAGAAAAATGGGAGGTCATAAGGTAAGTTAAGTTTTAAAAAATTAACTATCATTTATGGGATCTGAAGAGAACTCCCTGAGAAAATAGAATTAAGCAGAGATCCAATGAATGGACTATAATTTCCTAAGGAAGAAATTAGCCCACAATTATTTCAGGAGAAAGAGAAAAGACCATGGCGTGATTATGCAGCGGATAAGAGAACACTGTGAGTGGAGGTTGTGGCCAAGGATGGAAGCAGTCTGAGAGACAGGTAATGCAAAAGAAAAGGCCAATGGAGACTTTCCCATGAGTTACAGCCATTACTCACAGTTTTCTATAGCCTGTGATTATGAAACTCTTTATATCCGTTCACTATACAAAACCTTCTAGATCAGAGGGCATTCAGCCTCTTGCACAGAAAACCTTGCACAAAGATGAGATGGACCAGTGACCACAGAGTCAAAGACCCAATCCCAACATGAGGTCCTTAGCTTCTTCATACCCTGGAACACCTTCTAACCCCTAACTCTGTGAGACTTAGCTGCTTGACTACAGAGCCAAAGACCCCTCTCAATCTTTATCTTAAATAAAGTCTGTCCTTCTTACAAGTGCTTCTTCCTCTGTCCTTTTATTTGTACACAAAGGTCAGACCATGAAAGGCTCAGACTTCAGCAGGCATCCTTGCTCCATTAGGCAGCCGAGATCACTCCCACTCACCTAGGATAATTATTCTTCCAGCAGCCACAGTCCTGCTCAAGGCATAAGAATTGCTTCCCAAATTAAATAATTTAAGGTTAATTTCTTTGGAAGTTAACCATACAAATATGTGCAGTCCATGAAATTATAATATTTTACCTTAATTGCTATAACTAAGACTGATGGAATGGAGAAAATTATACTCAGTGGAATTCCTCACTGAAGGAGTATTAGATTTGTTTCACAGACAATCTTTAATATATTGCTTGCAGGTTCAAATAACCAAGGGTGGTGGTTAAACTCCCTGTCTAGGGAATAAAGGGCAGCAGGGGGAAAAAGAAAGAACAAGCAGAAGAGTGGGAGCAGGTGAAATAGCCAATTATGTTTCACTGTGTGATGTCTCCCCTCCCTGTGGATCCCAAAGGCTATATACCATTCACTGCTGTGTCCAGGTAGGCACAGGAGCATGGTGGAGAGGGAGCTGCCCATCCCACCTAGGTGAGTGTACATTCAGGTGTGACTCGTGCCAGTGCCAAAAGGCTGAATGCAAGGGCAAGCCAGGACTTAGGGTGCACTTCCAGATTTTGACTCCAAGTTCTGCACTCTTGGTGTTGCAACAGGGGGACTTACCTAACACTTCCTGATGAAATAACCAGGTGACATGTAATAATATTTTTAACAATTTTATAATGTCCAACGATACTTAATATTTAGTACTCCTTATTGTAACTTAACTAAAGTGAGAACCAGGAGATAAAATTTGAAATGGGATTTTGTCTTTGCTGACCATTAGATAGATCTGCATATTTCAAGACATGTTCATTCAAAAACTCTATGAAGTTAGTCTGATGACTTTTGGGGGGAGCGGGCTGGCTAAGCATACAGTGCTGGGGATCAAACTGTGGTCCCTGCGCTTTGCCTAAGCTTGCCTAAGCAAGTGCTTTAGACCGCTGAGCTATCTCGCTGGCCCCAGTCTGATGACTTTTAAAAGTAAATAAGGCAAACTTTTTCTTAAGGTTTGCATTTCTTGTTTGGGTCATTGTTACCAAGGGTGAAAAATAATGAAGAAAAAATTAAAACAATTTGACATAAATAGGTTTACTTTTCTCTCTCAAGTTTTCTTAATGTTTCTCTTCTGTGAAATTTCTACTAGCGAGAGTGGGGTTGGGAGAGGGAAAGGAGGAGAGAGGGAGCAAAGGGAAGAAGAGGGGAAGGGAGCAAGGAAAAGTAGCGCCTTTGAAAATATTGGGAAAGCTGGAATAAGTATACGTGAATCTCCAAACAGGATCTTCAATATTATGCTCACTCCTACCACCAGAAAAATAAAAACAGCTCATTGAGCACTTATTCTGCTCCAGGCAGCCCTCTAAGTTCTTGTATGCCTTTCCCCATTCACAGTTATGATCCTACAAAGTCAGTGTTATTCTAATCCCATTTTACCATTTTGGAAACTGGGCCTTGAAGAAATGAAGCCTTCCCAAGGCAGCGCTGTAATGGACTCAACACGCTGAGCTCTTAAGAACCATGCTTTACAGCAGAACCAGTCGAGATCCCTAAACAGATTTGGCATACATTCAAGGTACTGGTCACATGGATTGAGAGGAAAAGCTGAACTCTCAGACCAGCACAGGCAAATCTACCACTGGGTGAAAGAAAAGCCCAGATGTTACAGAACGCAGAGCCTCAGAGGGAAGCTAGCAACCAGCTGTGTCTACTTGGCAGCCCCTGGAGTTTCCACCCTCAAGCAGGTTGTCAGTCAACTAGGATACTAAAAGAAGTGCTGGTAAATTTTGGTGGCATTACATTTTCAATAATGTGTAAACAGTGACCCAGGCCACTGCCCATTTTCTTTACAACTTAATTCAACCCTGCGTAAGTACCAAGAGAATTTCTCAAAATATCCCTATAGCGGCACAAAGTAAATGAAAAGCTCAGCAGAGGCACATAATCACTGATTCCATAACTTTAAATTCTTCAACCAAGAAGTGGCAAACATTTACATGTCTATTTTAAGGGACTAGTGAATTTGAAATTGACATTCTGATTTTAATTTTAAGTCAATTCTCTCTGTTGTCTGACATGTGAAAGTCAAAATGTCTTACGATAAAACTGAGAGTATGTTCATTAGGTATATATTAAAGACATCTGAAAGTTTGAAACATACAACCGCAGCATTCAGTGGGGAGAATTACTGAGCGAGTGCGAGCATTACTTCCAAACGTCGAATGTTGAAGAGCAGCGCGCTGACTCTTGCGCTTCACTTTCCACTCCGTAGGAGCTGCATTTCTAATCCTAACTACAAATAACACTCAGAAAAACCCATCAGTCAGCACACACATTCTTACCAAGCAATAGAGTTTTCATTTGCCTTTTTGAAATCAGCTATTAATGAAAAGATTGTACTGGTGATAAACGCGTGGAGCTTGCAGAACTACAGCCTACTGCTGGGATCAGTAGAGCCTGCGCGGCTCCTACCAGCACCATCCAGTAGAACTTTCTGCAATGGCAGGAATGTTTTGTAGCATCTGGACTGGCCAGCAGTGTAGCTATTGGCTGCTCATGGCTATTGAGCACTTGAGATGTGACTGTGACTGTTAAACTGAATTTTTTATCTTATTGAATTTTTTTAATATGTTTGATACAGGGTCTCACTACTCAGCTTGGACTCATAGTGGTCCTCCTGTTTCTAGCCTCCCCAGTGCTGGGATACAGGCATGCGCCACCATGCTGGGTCTCGGTGGCCGTCTCAGCGTGCCCAGAGACAAGGCCAGTGCAGCCTGCAGTGTGGATCAAACCCTTGTCCCTGTGCTTGCCTAAATGGACACTTAGTCCGCAGAGCTATCTTGCCGGCCCTTTACCTTATTGAATTTTAATTTTAATATTTATTAATAACCACAGTACGACCTGTGTCTCCCACACTGGGAAGCACAAAATCCATTTGCATTTGTCACAATGTCGCACAAAGACCTGTCACCATTAGAATGACAGTGCAAAATTCCCTGGAGCAATTCATGCCCAACCTGCCTCTAAGGATGTAGATGAGAAACTAGGCTTCATAAATTTGTAAATACCTGGTGTTCCAGTCTTTCCTGGTTCTCCCTTCTGCCCAACAACAGGTGCACAGCAACGACAACAATTCAAAAAGAAATCAACTGTATCAAGAGTGAAGTTTTCAAAGGGAAAGAGAGTGGCCGTGGGAAAACCAGAGTCCGAGGCAACTGGGTCCATGGTGGGTTCTACCACTGAAGCCATTTCTGTGAGCACAGCACCTCCTTCTTCCCAAGGCAAGCCAGTGGACAGCTTTAAACCCTTTGGCACCTCTTTCGCATCAGATTTTTTTGTAAATTTGGTGTATGGTGTGGTCTTCGATGCTGCCTCCATACCAGCAATAGTCAAAATAATTAAAATGGCACAAAGGCAAGAAAACGTCCACATGTTTGGGGCTGGAAGATAGAATAGGAAAATATGCACAGATTATATGAGGCCCAAATTTTAAACACTCAATTGCATAAATAAATATTACATGGAAAAAATATGTACATGAACTATAATAATGAACAGCATACATAATATAGGATGAGATTTTGCAGATACTTGAGTGTACAAGTATAAGATTGAATCATTAAATCACACAGAATGTTTCATTTATTTAAGTATTTATTGTAAGAAACACTTTGCTTCAGTTCTCTTCTCTAGTTGCTTTCTCAGGATAACCTGTTTGAAGATAGTGCTTTCAAACATTCAGGTTATCTTGCCAAGTAGCAAACATGATCTATAATAAATGCAACGAGACTTAATAGCTCATATACCCTGTAGAAAGCAAATATGTATAATTTCCTGACTGACCTCACTCAGATTTATAGGAATCAAATATATCTGTATTAGAAGGTGATGAAAAATATTGAGCTGAATAGTTTATTCCAGAAAACTCAATTATTCCGAGAAAAAATACTGGTAAAGTAGTCTTTAAATCTAGCAGGGCTAACGGCCCTGATGTGAGAGTACTCTTTTGGAATTATAATAAGTGAAGAGAGGGACAGTAAAACAAAATACATTTAAATACATGCTATGTACTTAGATTTTTTTACATGTCATTCAAGGCTCTGAATTTTTGCTTTATAATTTGGGGGCTTAGTGTGAAAATTCACATTTATACTTGCATTATTTTAATGAGACTGTGTGGTTATTTTCAGTAAGGTTTTTGAACAATGTCCAAAATAATGCGTGCTATGGATAACCCATTACTATTTTTTCCATTATTTTATTGAGAAACAAAGAGCAATGAGACAGTTACAAATCAAATTGGTAGGAGAGTTTCAATAATTAACACACTTCATACTGTCTTCCTAGTGGTTATTTGTTGTACAAGATGCAGACATAATATGCTATTTACAAACACTATTAGAACAAGTTCCTCTATTCATTAAGAGAATGTAACTATATATCTATCCTAACCATTTTGAATACACAGATACAAAAAGGATATTCATCAGTATTCCCTTTTTTTGTTTAGATCCGTCATTTGAATATTGTAGGTGTGTTAACTCAGCAAAATATTCTAAAAGAGTCCAGTAGTACATAATAGTATTGGGTCTTCTGCTTCACTGGCAGTGTCAGAAATTGTTGACAAGGGTCCACTACAGCTGAATATAACACCATGCCTTTACATCTTATACTTCGTTTTTTTTACTTTGCTGCTGGTTGATTAAGACCAAAACAAAGCAAGACCTATGCAACAAGAATTGTAGCTTTTAGGCCTGATAAGGTCAGTGAAATCCTCTCAGGATTTATCCAGAGATCCTGTACCTCGAATTGTAGATCCTTTGTCAGTGTCAGCCATATGGATGAGTCATGGCCATTGCTTGGCAAATTTGCTCCTTGTGAAAGCCTGAGACAATGTTTTCTCTTCATATGACTCTCCTTAGGCACACTCTACATCATCAATCACTTTCCTCTTTGGCCCCATAATCTCCTTGATCAGAAAATTTGGGACACTACTGATTTACATGACATTACAGTACAAGTTATCATATGTCCTGAGTCTTAAGTGACCTTGGAAGGCTAGGGCCAAAATGTTGGCTTCCCTTGTGACCCTCCTTTTTCTCTAATTTTGGTCTGCTAACTTAGCTTGTTAACCCTCCAGAAGAGAAGCTTATTGTTATTACCATACACCCTAGGCTGTTAAGCTTAACCTCACTATCTGTCGGAATATCAAACATCTTAGGTATAACATGGAACAGGTATTTTTCATCAAGTATTGATATTTTGAACTTTTTAAGTCCCTACAGAAAATGACAAAAACATTTAAAAATTATAATATATTTTTAAAATAGGCATAAAGAATTATATAATTCTTATGTTTACACATAAGTCCAGAAATCTAACTATATACAACCTGGTAGCAGGACAGTCCCACAACATTCCTTTTCCTCTCTCCTGCCTTCATTCATCACCCCCTTCTTTTTGAATAATCATAAACCCGAGAGACAGACACAGCAGCAACTGGCATGTCATGACAAGCAGCCCATATTCAGAAGACCAGAATGACAGGCCCTCCAAGCATGAACCTACTATTATAAATTGCCACCTTCAGTGCAGTTGCTTAGTTCACAGGTGTCTGTTATAAAGTTAGTCAGGGTGAGAATCATTGCAATTAACAGCTAGATTCAAAAATCTTCTGAAGATTCTCAGGATCATTGCCTTACCCATCTTCTACATATAACTGTATGACTTGCCACTGTCATGTTTACTAGCTCAATTTCTTTCCCTCTCTTATATTTAGTCCTCAAGTTCTTGCTTTCATTTTAGTTGTATTATACCTTTCTATTTGTATTTCTACCTTTGAGTTTTTATGCAAGGGAAACTATGCAATATTTACACATGTGTATCTGGTTTATTTCACTTATGAGTATATCTTCAAGTGGCATCCACACAAATATGAAGGCTTCAAGTTTATCATTCTTTATAGCTGAGTGATACTCCATTGTATAAAAATACCACATTTTTTTCATCCATTCATCAGGTGATGGGTATCTTGGTTGTTTCCAAGATTTGGCTATCACAAATTGTGCTGCTATAAGCAAAGGCACACTTTTATCACTATGATATGATGTTTTCAGATCCTCCAGGAAGATTCCCAGAAAAGGAATAGCTGGTTTAAATGGGATTTACAATCCCAGTTTTCTAAGGAGTCTCCACACTGATTTCCATCATGGTAAAATTTTCATCTGAGTACTTATTTGTCATGATTTTTTTCCAAATTTGTGGGTTATCTTTTTACTTTGTTGGCAATTTCTTTTGACGTGAAAAAACTAATCAAAAAGAGCAGATCCCGGTTGTTAGTTATTTCAAGTGTTTCCTCTGTGATTTGATTTTTGTTCATGAACTCTTTGCCTACCCCTATGTCTTCAAGAGTTCCTCCTACTTTCTCTTCCAGGAGATTTAGTGTC